TGTAATTGTGTGAGCTCTGTAGCACTCTCGAGAAAAGGCAATCCACCTACCCCATCTTGCAGCCTGCCCTTAAATTCACAAGGATACATTCCTACATGGAGTCTCTGGATATTGTAATAAGATTGTCACATGTCATTAATGCAGTTTAGTTCTGCATCCTAACTGACTGGAAAAACTGATTCAATTGCAAACTTTTTTTTTTTTTGGCAACTGTATGAGCATCTTCCCAAAATATATTAGAGTTGCCACTGACAGATGGTGTGAGATGGGCCCAGGGATGCTGTTGACAGATATCTTGCAATGGATCTTATTACATTGACATATCTGAAGAATTCTCATGGGAAATGTCTTCACAGGCCTGAAGGCTGACAGAACAAGATGGAGGCCCTTCAAGACAATTGCCAATAAGGAAAGACGGAAAATGGGAACAACTTTCCAGAGATAATTTAGCAATATGTATAGAGCCTTGGGAATTACCTTTTGACCTAGGATTTGTCTTCTCAAGTTTTAGCTGCAAGAGTTGCTTAACCACGTGTGGAAAGATTTTGTATGGAGATCTTCTTTGCAACATAATATATATAATGGAAGAAACTGGAAATCTCCAAAAGTCCCATAATATCAGACAGAAATACACAAGTTAATAGTTGTCCCTCCCTATCTATGGGTTCCATATCCATGAATTCAACCAATTCATATCAGAGACATAGTTGACCTATGATGGTTGCATCTGTGTTGAATATATATAGACTGCTTTTTCTTATCATTATTCCTTGAACAACACAATAAAATAATATTCGAGAAAGGTATTGGGTATTGTAAGTCATCTAGAGACAATTTAAAGTGTAGGAAGGGTGTGTGTAGGTTACAGGTAAATACTATGATATTTTACTTGTGACAATCCTTCTTAGATATCCATATATAACTGTATATTTATATTCATACTCACTATGATTTAAAAAGCAGGATAAAGAATAATTTATTTAGGATGATCTGTTTTGTAAAAGGAAAAAAAGACTGTTGACAGTGACCATCACTGGGTGGTGTTATCACAAGTGATTTGTCATCTGTTTTGTATTTTAAGTGAACAAGAAAGCTTCTTCAGGTAATAAAAAATATGTGCTACCGAAAATTTATGTAAACTCTAATCCATAGAAAACTTTGAATAGGAGAAAGCATTTGCTATAATCAATACAACTGTTCAATGCTAACTTTTATATACTAGCCTTTGTCTATGTACATGGAATTTTTTTTTTCCAGCGCTGAGAATTGAATCCAGGGTCTCACATATGCACAACCACTGAATTCTAGCCTCAACCTGGAAATATTTTTATGTATTCAGAAATCATCTACAGTTTTGTGTTCCATTTTTTACAATCCAAGTAAAAATAATACATGCAAAACCTCTGATGAATCTGAAAAAATCTCAGTGTGCATACGCTTATTTGGTCCAAAATAGATATCATATGAATTATTAATTTGTGTCCATCAGTTCTGAGTTACTGTAACAAATACCTGATTTCACCAGTTTATAAAGATAGAGAGTTTATTTTGGGTCCTAGGTTTGGAGGTCTCAACCCTTGGTCAGTTGGTCCCATTGTTTGGGGCCTGTGGGGAGACAGAAATCAAGGAGGGAATACAGAGGGCAGAAAATCACTCCCCTCTTGGTGACTGGGAAGTAGAAGAGAGGGAGAAAGGGGAACTGGGGCCCTGCAATTCCCTTCAAGAGCACAATCCCAGTGACCCCACTTCTTAAAATTTCCACCGCCTTCCAACAGTACCACACTGACAACCAAGCCTTCAACCTACGGGCCTTCGGGGGACATTCCAAATCCAAACTGTAGCGTAACTGAATTGTTTGACATTTGACAATCAACATATATGGGTAACTTTCCTAATCCCAAAATCTGCTTCTCCAAAACAGTTTCAACTATCACCCCGTTCTATGGCAGAAATATTACCATAGGCTTGCAATCAGGCATCTATAACTTACTACCTGAATTTAACACATTTAACAGATATTTTTTTAAATACCCAAAATATCGTACAAGACATAAGATTTAAACTGAACTCACTGGAAAAAGGGAATAAATGGGCTTTAAAGAACAGTGAGTGAAAAAACATGGAACATTAGCCACAGCAGCAAAAATGATTTCGAGACAGATGCAAAAATGAAATTGAGAGAGACGGTACGACATGAGAGACTGTGCCTGAGACATCGATTTGATGTCCATGATGACAATGACCTCCAGGGGAACTGAGTAGAGTATGAAAATTCAGTACTTAAAAATCAAAATCAGGATCGAAGCAGAAAACAAATTTACTGCCTTCCAAAAACAACGCGGAACCTGTGGTTGTGTTATAACAAGGCCTGCCTCATGCAATTCAAGTCAAAATATGACTTTCATCAGAGAATTATTTTTGTTCTTCCATGAAATAGAGCAGGAAATATGTTATGAAATTATTTGCCAAGGTCAAGAAAACATATAATCTTGATGATGGGGAGGGAAAACAAAAGAGAAATAACTGAACCCGTGTCTAGACCAGTGATTCTCAACTGGGGGCAACTCTGTCCCTTGGAGGACATCTGGCAATATCGGGAGACATTTTGGGTGGTCATGGTTAAGGAGGTGGGCGAGTGCTGCTGGCCTCTAAACAGTGGGGGCTGAGATGGTGTGGGTCCACAGCGCACAGAAGAGCTTCCTACAACAAAGAAACGTCATGGATGCTGAGGAGCCGGGTGCAGACAGTGACAACTGATCTGGGAAGAAATGACCAAATTCTGCTGATCTGCTCTCCAGTGGTGGTGGGGAAGGTAGCAGGTGGCTGAGGGAGGTGCTCACTTCTCCCAATTCTCCTGCACAGGCCATAGGAAGGATGGCTTCCAACTGCTGATGGCCAAAGCATTTATATAAAACTGTAAGTATGGGAAAATCTTGATTTAGCTGGAATTTATGCAGGCAAGGCACCAAGTCTCGCAGATGTTTTTCTCCCCCCTCTATACAAGGAGAAAGGAGCAAAATACAAAAGGAAAAGGCTCATTTCAGGGACATCGAAAACATGTCCGAGGGTGGCGTTCAAAGTCTCCTCAATCTCCTGTTTAGTTTTGGTTTTTTTTTTCTGGACAATGGGAATTGGGGTCCAGAATGCTTAACCCGTGATACAGCCTGACCCTCAACTGTCAGACGAACATTAAATTACTTTTGGAATAAACTGTGCTTCTTAAAGACAGGAAACCCAACTCATACTTTTCAGTAAGATTTCCAACGTCAAGAGTTGATGTGAAAAAGGTTTTCTCTGAAATAACCTGGAATCTCCCATTCCCTGGACATTTTGACTAATTGGAGTTTTCCTGTGGCTTACATTCTTTAACATAGCCTTGACATTGGCAAGTTTTACAGGAAGGGCTACTGGACGGTATTTCAAATTCAACTCCAAATGTTCCCTTTCTGCATTTTACCTTGGTAATGTTGGAATGCATTAAAATAAGCAGGCAACATTCCTTTGTGATCAACAAATCAAGGTGAGGGCTTTAAAAAAATCTAAATAAAACAAAAACATTCAATAGATAAAGAAGAGTTGAGAGCATCAGAAGAGAAAAGTCTGGTTCCGATTTGCTTATTCCAGTTGGGAGCTTTATGCTGCACAGCTGTGTCCATTTTGAGGCGTTTGCAGAGTCTGATTTAAGCACTTGCATGATTTTTTTACTAGGTTCAAACCACATTGAGGTCCAAGGTTTTGCCTGGATCTCCCTAATCTCATTCTGTCCGGGCTGACTTCAGCCAACACCAGCTCTTCTCTAGACTTACTTGCTAACTGACAGCCCGCAGACAGTATGGTGTCCAAGGATGTGGGGCTGAGGGGAGGCAAAAGCCATGCTGACTCCAAAACTCCAATCACCTTTAATTAGTCAAGAAAGATCAACTGCTCCAGAATGTTCTTCTACTGAGACAGGCAGAGCCAGAAGGCCGCAGTGGGCTCCTGGGTCTGTCTGAAGATCTTGTGTTTCTCATTTACTTTCTTTGGCTTTTGTTTTTCCCACCTTTATAAATAAGGTGCTAAAAATTGCTATCCTAGTTCCTACTGGATATAGCAATGTTTTATTTAGAATATGCAGAAATGTTCCTAGTATGTCTGGAGCTGGGAGATCTCTCTGTCCCTGATTCTCTCCCTCAAGGTCGAGAATCTCCAGTATGATACAATTCTAAGAAAGTTGGATGTCAGTGAACTAGAATCTCCCTAACAGGACATCCGGTCAAGGCGTTTTTTCCCCCCTGTGTAATAACATGGAAGAGTGAAAATAGCATCAAATTTGGTTCTCCACGGACCTGGGAGAACTGAACCTGGGTTTCAGCCACGTGACCTTAACAAAATCAATGTGCTTTTCTGAGATGCAGCTTCTTCAACGATAAAATGGTTTTATCAGGAGTACCAGTATGTGGTGGGGATTAAAGTAAACCATCCAGGAAAGGGAAACAGTTGGAACTCAATGTATGTGGGTCCCATCACCTACCCTTCCCAGATGCAACACAACACTCACACACACAGACCACAGTCATTTGTGGGCCCTGTGGATGCTTTGCTGAGTGCTTCTTAGGGGAAAGAGTTGAAGCATTGAAACTGAACCAATGGTGAAGACTGAAAGTGAACAAAGGCAATTCTTAGAGCAGCTTCTGAAATAAACTTATGACAGGTCTGACTCTTTGGTTTTCCACACAGTGTTCTGAATAATGAGAACTACGGGTTCTTCATGGAGACCCTAACATTCCACAAGATCCTCAGTCGTGACTGAAAAGGGACACTGTGTTCTCATGTGTTGGTTAGGACTCTTGTTGCTGGTTATATAAACTACCTCAAGCTGGTGTGTGTGTGTGTGTGTGTGTGTGTGTGTGGGGTGTAAGGGGATATATCAATGTGTCTTATGGAGCCAAAACTCGTGTCTACTTCTTTCTGTGTATCTATTTCATTTTTTACTTTCCCAAACACCAGCTTTTTCTTCACTTCTTAAATGACAGAAAACAACTGTCCCACAATTCTAGAGGTGGCGTTACAGGCCCAATCACTTGAAGAGCCTGGTGCAGGCAGCTGTTGCTCCCTTTCCAAACTCTTCAGAAGAGATGAGAACCCTTTAGGTACACCACCCACCTCACCTCTAATCAGCTTTGGCCAGGGGGACAGGATCCCGTTGTACAAAGATGGCTGCCGGAGGCTGTCTCTTGGGGTCCTGCAGATGCAGATAAAAGAAGAGATTTTGAAGGATGGGGGAAAGGAGGCGGCATTAGACATAGACACACCAGAGGGATCATTCCACTTTACACAGTAGGAAAGAAAGTGAGTTAATACATATGGGAGTCGTTTTCAATAGCCAGGGGAACAATCTAAAAGAATTTTCACATATCCCACAGTTAAGCCAAAATTTTAATTAACCCAAACTTATTTTCCCCTGCATCCTCATTGTAGCCTATACAAAGGGGGTTGCCCACCCAGCCGCCTGTTCCCCTTCCTAGTTGTCAGGACTCCACATTTATTTGGGTATCTTGCTCCTTCCTGTCATAGCAGGGGATCCCAAGCCTGTGTTTAGAAATCATTGAGTCTGATGGCTGCATTGTGACCCCATTTGCCTTTCTAGTGATTGGTTTAGACAGGTATGTGACAATCCTGGCCAATAAAATATGATGGGGAATTTGTTGAGAATCCTTGGGCAAAATGTTTTTCTCCCAGATGAAAAGAAACCCACAGGATCACTTTCCTTCCTTCTAGACACTTGTGCATGGGTATGATGCCAGTCTTATGACCACGAGGAGCAGAAAGATCACAGACCTTAAGTCCCCGACAGCATCATTTGAGCGACTTAGGAGGCTAACCCACCTCAGACTGCTTTACCTCCAGGATTCTTGCTATTTGATTGAAAGAAATGTTCTTATTGTTCAAGGCGGTTGAGCTGATTATTAACTTTTAGCTACTTGCATCCCCAGACATCATAACTGACACACCTCCTAATTAATACAAGTTATAAAGGCACAAGTAAGACATGCTTTAATGAGAGTCGACTTAATAGCAGGAGAATAATCCTGCAAATGCTTAAGAGAAGATGTCCCATTGGCACCATTGATATCGGTAACCAAGAGATCACAAATCACTTCTAAAGCCCCCGGAGGCTTATCAATATATAGCATTTTGCAAGCACAACCACATTATTTTTTTTAAATATTCATAAGAAGCACCTCTAAGGAATGATCTGTTTAGAGCAGCTTTTTTATGCTTCAAAGTCCTCACCCCTCTCGACAGGGAGTTGGACAAGTTTAAAGTGGTTTCATTGTGTGTTCTGCTTCCTTGAGTTTGATAAGATGTGTTCTCGTGACAGGTCTGTCCCTGCAGTGGGTGCCTGGGATGCTTTGATGTGGGCTGCGTTCGGACAGCCTAATACTTGGGGGAAAATGTGCTGAAATTGAACAAGATTGCTTTCTGCCCAGCTGTTCTCCAAAGGCCTAGACATTTTTAGCACTGAGCAAAGAAGCTTGTATTTGTTTTGACAGTCTTGGCAGGGAGAACAATGGTTGATTATCCCAGTACTTTACTAACAAATAAGACTGCCTCCAGCAGAGATAAAATATAGGTCTTGACTTGATTGCATTTCATGTCCAAGGGAATTATCTTCTATTCATTCTGATGCCCTTTTCATTATGCAGTGTAGCTTTTTCGTTCTTTATCCTTGCTCCTTAAAGTAACCCGTGACTTCCACCCTGAGAAGGCAGATTCCCGAAATCCCCACGGGCATGGGGGTTTGATTATCCTGTAAAGCATGTATTTTTCACTTCTCCAATTGGATTCACCAGAAGCTATTTTTTGGTTGTTGTTGTTGTTTGCTTTTAGATCTCCGGACTGTATGGTTAGTTTCTTCTCTAATTTTCTGTCTGCTTGCTTTTGGTATTATTTATGTTGCTCCTACTATTTCAGCATATATAAGTCTTGGATTGTGCAGCATATCTATGTTTAAAAGGCTATCCTAGGTATTTTTCTTCCCCCATATAGAGGAATGTTGGACACAAAGGAACTTTTTATATTTTTAATATAAATACTTCTATTTCTCTATTCTCCACCTTCCAGAAGATTTTAAAAAGTAAATACTCTTGTAAGAATATCATATATACAGATTCACATACACAGCTCAGTGCATTTCCAGAAACTGAACACGTTTGTGTAATTATTGTCCTTCATGCCCCCTCCCTGTCACTTCCTGCCTTTTCCCAAAGATAAGCTCTGTTCTGGCTTCGAAGCCATTGGATGCCCTGTTCCTCTTTGCAGGGTATTGTGTCTGTCTGATTCAATAGGGTTGTCGTGTGTGGTGGTGGCTTCTTCACTGTTACTGTGGCATACTATTCGTCTCATAACATCACCACGATTTAGCAGTCACCATTTGGTTCATGCACATCTGGATGATTACACATAGCACTGGTACCACGTTTCTGTCTGTGTCTTTTGTTGAATATATGTCTGCGTTCTCCCCCCAGTTATATGGACCTAGAAGCAGAATTGCTGGGGGGTTAACTCTGTTTATCACTGTCAGCAGATGGTCCCAATTTACACTTCCACCAAAGGCTTATGAAAGTCCTCTATTAATCCACATCCTTGCCAGCACTTGGTATTATTCTCTTTTAATTACACCAGTTCTGTTAAGTGTGTGGCAGTGTCTCATGGTGGTTTTATTTTGCATATTCCTGATGATTAATGAAATTGCATATATCTTTTGCTTATTGGCATTTAGATATACTCTTCTGTGAAGTACCTTGAATATATATATATATATATATATATATATACACACACACACACACACACATATATCATATGTGCACATGCCATTTGACAAACACACATATATGAATATCTTATTAATTAGTAAAATTTCTTTATATTTTACAGGAATGAGTTTTTTGTTGGTTATATGTATTGAAAATACTGTCTCCCCCTCTGTGATTGCCTTTTTACATCATCAAAGGGTCTTGACAAATAGAAGATTTGAAAGAGTTTTAAACTTACAAATATAATACAGAGAATTTCTGTACACCCTTCACTCAGCTTCCTCTAATAGCAACATATTACATAACCACAATACAATTATTGAAACCAAAAAATTAATATTGTCACAATATTGTTAACTAATCCACAGACCTTAATCGTATTTTGTTATTTTCCACTAATATCTTTTTTTCAGTTCAGGATCCAATCTAAGATTCCCACATTGTTTTAAATTGTCTTGTATCCTTAGTCTGTTCTAACTGGGGACAGTTCTTCAATCTTTGTCTTTTATAACTTTGACACTTTTGAATAGTGATTTTGTAGAATGTTCCTTATTTTGGGTTTATCTGATGTTTTCTCAAGATTATCAACACTCTTCCAATCATTAGTAACTAGAAACATACGGTTCTGGCTTAGAGTCTTTTTTTTTTTTTTTAAAGTCAGGTGTTTGTTGTAAAATTTACAACTTCAATACACTACCATTCACCCTTTTTAGTGTGCAGTTCTGAATTTTTGACAAACATTTACAGTTATGCAACTACTACCAAGATCAACATATAGGACAGTTCCATCCTGCCCTAAAATTCCTTCATGCCCCTTTGAGATCAACCTCTTCCCTGGCCTTACCCCTTGGCAACTACCTATTATTAATTCGTCTAGGTTTTTTGTTTTTTGTCCAGAGTTGTCATAAAGAATCATAGAATATATCGGGCTGGGGATGTGGCTCAAGTGGTAGCGCACTCGCTTGGCATGCATGCGGCCCGGGTTCGATCCTCAGCACCACATACAAAAACCAAAGATGTTATTCCACTGAAAAAAACTAAAAAATAAATATTAAACTTCTCTTTCTCTCTCCTTTTAAAAAAAAAAAGAGAATCATAGAATATAGATCCCTTTGAGTCTGACTTCACTTAACATATGTGCATTTGAGATACATTCCTATTGTTCTATCAGTAGTTTTTTTTTAATTGCTAAGATATCTACTACTGTATGGACGTACCACAATTTGTTTATTCATTCACCAGTTGATGGGCTTTTGAATTATTTCCAGCTTAGGGAAAATATGAATCAAGCTGCCATAGAAGTGTGTCCACAGTTTTTTGTGTAGACAGAAGCATTCATGGATGTCAGGTATACACCTAGGTATGGAATTGCTAGGTCATGTGATAACTGCATGTTTAACTATATATACAATTTCCAAAACATTTTTCAAATGACCATGCCATTTGACATTCTCACCAGCAATGTATGAGAATTCTAGTTGTTCCACGTCCTTGTCAGGACTTGATGCTGCTGGGTTTTTTCCATGAATAGACTGAGGTTGTTTTTGGTTTTTGTTTTTGACAAGAAAACCACTGATGTGACATTTTGCTCTTCTCAGTTCATCATATCTGAATATACATAATATTGAAATTATTACTTCAATATTTTGATTAAGTGGTGTGTACTAGAATTCTCTATAGCAAAGTTACTATTTTTACCTTGGCAACTATTAAGTGCCCTGTAGGGAGATTCTCTGAGACTATACAAATATCCTAGTTCTCATTACAGTTTCACACACTAATTTTACCATCTCTTGTTGACTGTTGCCTGCAGTGACTATTACTCCATTGTTGTCTAGTGGGTATTTTCCATAACTGTATTCCCAAGTGTGTTAATTGGAATTCTGCTCTGATGAAGTACTATCCTTTCATTCTCACTTATTTATTCAATTATATCAATATAGACCCTTGGGTATTTATTTTATTCTATGGTTTATAACCTACTTCTTTCATATTTATTTTGTTGCTCAACTTGCCCCAGATTTAACCATTGGCTGCTCTGTCAGGTTGGTCCCTATTAACGTCAGCTATCATTTTCTGGATACTTTCTTACTTTCTGATCTCCCAAGATTTTCCATATTCATCTTGTATTTTCCCTTTCCAGGACCTGGTGTCAATCATTTTCCCAGGGATCCCCAGTTTTTATCATAGGATGATAGGTAATAGAAACCAATATCTTGGACTAAGGGTGCTCATTGTTACTGGGTATCATTGTTTCTAAGCTTCTCCAGCAGGAAAACTAGGAGTCTGGCGTTGTGGCTCAGAGGTAGAGCGCTCACCTAGCATGCATGAGGCACTGGGTTCGGTCCTCAGCAACAAAATTTTTTTTTTTAAAAATTGGGAAAACTAGGAAGTATGTGAAGTGTGCAGCACACACACACACATTTATTTCTACTCCTATGCCTTCTGGATGAATTTATATTAAAAACCATGAAAAATAAATAAAATAAAAGTCATGAAAAAAATAAATTAAAAAAAGTCATGAATTCTTACTTTATTCTCTAATCCAATTTACTGCATGGCTCCTTTGATTCTTCAGTTACCATCATCTTTTATCTTCTTTCTTTGATATTGAAAAAGCTGGCTTCATTATCTACAATAGATTTATTTATTTGCATGAACTAGTATACACATAAAAATAATTTCAGAATTGCTCACCCATGCCCTTTACGAAAAACAACTTAACTTCACTAGCGTATAATAGTTCCATAGTTCTTTTACCTGTAGTTTTACAATATGTAACTAGGATCTGATTTTCTAAAGTGATTTAGTTAGTTTTTTCTTCTCCCAACATGTCAGTTGGTTATGTTACTCAAGAAATTGCTAATCTTGTTAGTTGTTAGTTATATTTATCTATCCCCCTGGAACTGGTTTTTGTAAACTTTTATTGCAATATCATATACAAAGAGAAAACGTATCAGATGGCTTACCAATGCAGATCCATGGGGAACACCTAGTGCACAACATGGTGTATTTCCACAGACTCTACAGTCCCAGGAACCAGCACCTCCGAAGCCCTGTCCTACACACTTCAACCACTACCCACTCCTTATGGTCACCATCGTAATAATTTTCAGGGGTGATGGATGTGGGATGCTTTCTTGACTCTGCCTGGAGAAACTGTTAACCCAGAGTTTCTGTGAGTGTGCCACAGATGGCTTACCAGTGCAGATCCATGGGGAGCACTCAATGAATCGGAATCGCTGGGTGTGGACTGAGTCTGTATTTCTAACCTGCTCTCCAGGTGATCCCTCAACCCCCCGGGGTTTAACCGCACAGCTCTCGCGGCTCCTTTGAATTATGGCAAAGCTCCACCATCTCAAGTACCAAAAGACAGTCTCACGCCACTTTCTCAGAGAAATGCAGGGAGAACCAGTGTTCATAGCTCACCGGGCGGCCATCTGGGCTGCTCATTTAAGTCACGGTTTATCTAGAAAGGAGACAGTTGACAGTTAAGATTCTCCACCCACACAGAAGGGACTGGCAGGACAATGGGACACAATATAATTTTTTTTTTCATTTCACAAATTGTCCTGGGGTTTTCATGACTTATCTACAAGGGTCCCTTTCTCTTGTGACTATCGGAGAGATCTTTCTCCCATCTCTGAATTCCTTGTGCATCCCAAGAAGCAGAGCCAAACCCAGGGGTGGGAATGTCACGGGCTCTAGTGCCTCTGGATTTACTGAACTCCTGCCACTAAGCCAGCCAGCTGCGGCTCCTGCACCCTGTGTATCCTGCCTGTTCCTCACATGCCCGCTCACTCTTTTACCCAACGCTACCAGTAGAGCACAGTGACACAGACTCACACAGGTTAACAGCTGCCAAGAGGTACCTGGGGACGTGTGAATTCGGGGCTGTCACCTTGTTCCTCATTTAGGCAGCTGGCCAGCACCTGGGAGATTTTTCTGGATTTACCAAACACACATCTGAAGCTGAGAGAAGGGAGAGGCTGGTGGGAACAGGGAACGGAGCTGAGCCCTGTGGAGAGAAAGCTTTGGGAGCAGCAGGCCTAGACTTAGAACCCATGCCTGCTACTTCCTGTGTTACTGTGGGCAAGTCACTTAACCTCCCTGAGCCTTTCTTCTGTTATCTTTAAAAGAGGAGACTTTGATCTATCCTTTGCAGGTTTGTGTAGTGTATTAAAGGAAACAATGTTAAAAGTAGCTGTTAAAATTATGTTATATAATAAGCTTTCATTTGTGTCATGGCCATTTTCCTAACATGAAAAACCTGCTTGGCAAGTTACCTAATTGCTCAGTGTCTCGGTTTCCTCATCTGTAAAGCAGGGACAATAATAGTATCTCACAGGGCGGTTATGAAGATTCAGTGAGTTAATCTCTGCCAGACGCTATAGAGCAGCGTTAAGCACATAGACAGAAACAGGGCTGGTCTATGACATGCCAACTTAGGTTCACACTCATTTAGAGCCACCGGAGAGTTAAGAGGAGGCTGGAAATGTGGGATCCAAGATTGGTCCGGTTTCCCAGGAGACAAAACAAGTAACTGCTCTCTAAGTAGGTGCTGCTCTAACATAGACTGGGTGGCTTATAAATGATGGTACTTTATTTCTTACCTGCTATAAGGCTGCAAGTCCACGACTGGGGTGCCAGCATGGCTGGTTCTGGTGAGGACCCTCTTCCAGGCTGCCGACTGCCTACCCGCTTCTCCTCGTGTCTTCACAAGAGAGCTCAGGAGCATGGGTAGGGGGTCCTCTTATAAGGACCCTAATCCTCCAGGGCTGGGGGTGTAGCTCACCAGTAGATCACCTGCTTAGCATGCCAGCACCAAAAAGTGGAGAGAGAGAGAGAGAGAGAGAAGGGACAGTATTTCATTCATGAGGACTCCACCCTTAGGACCTTAGCACAACCCGTACCCCTCCCCACCCCCAGGCTCCACCTCCCAATGTCACTCATCTGGGATTGAATTAAACTTAGGATTTTGGGACACAAACCTCCAGTTCAGAACATGACCTTCTGGTTGCAGACCCGCTCTCCCCTCCTCTCTGGAACGAGGGAGCCTTTTCTTACAGAGGGGTCCCTGCTTTCTCCTTCTTTTCCTACATGAATTCAAGCACGCAGACAAATCGTATTAATTGTCTACTGCTAGCTAATAAATTACCCTCAGAACTTAGTGGTTTAAAGCAAACATTTATTACCTACATTTTCTTGGGGGCCAGGAGCCTGGGAAGAGCTGGGCCCCGTGGCTGTGCTCGGGCTGTCTCAGGAGACAGTGGCCAAGGTTTGGCTGGGGCTGCGGTCATCTGGAGACTTGACGGGCCAATGGAGCCGTTCCCAGGACAGTTGCTCATCCGTCTGCAGGCAGGAAGCCTCTGCTCCTGACCCTGTGGGTCTCTCTGTAGGTTGCTGGAATCATCATACAGCATGGTGGCTGGCTTCCCCCAGAGCAAGATGGAAGAGCCACAGAAACGACAGTATATTTGTTTTTTACCACCCAACCTCAAAATTAAAACATCATCATTTCTGCAACAGCCTGTTCTCTGGAAGCCAGCCATTAAGGCCAACCCTCATTCCAGGAGAGGAGAAGTAGGCATATTCTAAAATCAGGATGCCACCATGATAGATCCTCCATAGGTTAGGGAAGGAGGTCACGTCCCAAATGAGCCTTCTCTGTGTCTCTTTGATTACCCAGCTGACCCCTCCTGGAAAGAGATTAGAAATTTCAAATTCTCAGCAGAGTTGAAAATAGGACCAGAAATAAAACAGAAAATAGTGAGGGTTCACAGCTTCCCCAGGCGAGGCCCCTGGCTGGGCCTTAGGAGGAGGGGAGAGAGACAGAAAGAGGAAGTCACACTGAAACAGGAAGAGGCCTCACTCCCCGTGGTGCCTTCCAGGCCCTTTCCTCTCCCAGAACTTATTCGCAATAAGTGGGTGAAGAATCCTGTAACTACAGCAAATGGTGGCACAGGAGGAGGGTGCCCACCCAGCCTTGCGGAAAGGGGGCCTCCCTGGGAGTAAAGCCGTGCTGGGGTGTGGACAGGGGCCTAGCGTAGTGTTCACACCCCCAGGAGCAACACCACAGCCCAAAGGAGGGTCCAGGGCATTCCTGAGCTGGGAACACTTCCACGTGCTGGAGCAGAGAAGGGGGCAGTTTCCTCTCCAAGGCTTGAGAGCAGGGGCTACAGGCCCCAGGAGCCAGGATCTAGAAGTTCTTTCTGGACAGGCACAAGTTGTTTCTGGACCACCTTCTGCAGAGTACACAGACCTCACTCCTGTCCCCCGGTGAGGGGCAGGTGCTCTATTCTGAGAGCAGGGGTGGGAGTAAGAGCCCGGCCTTCTCAGACCAGGAGGCAGGCCTCACCGCCTCCCCCACCCCAGCCCTGCACCGCCAGCAGCCCTCAGAGCTTGTGGAAAGCAAACCCAGCTCCTCCCAGGTTCTCTGGCGCCCTTTCAGGCATGGAGCTGGGGTGGGCTCCCAAGCCCCATTACTAGAGCTCAGAGACTCTTCCATGATTCCAAAAACACATTTTTCCCGGCAACACAAGAAAACGTGCTGCTTCCTAGGATCTCCCCACTGGAATTATCCATGGAACATGCAGAACGTTAACAGAAAAGCAGTTTTCTCTTGGAAACACATGGAAAACAGTTTGTTTGCTTGGAAGAAAATCATAACTTGTTGTCTCCCCCCCGCCCCAGAGGAAAATTAAGACGCTCACATATTTAGTCTTTTCAATCCCTTGTTTGTCTGGAGCTTTTGAATCAAAATGCAAGCCTGAGGAGAAAAGTGCTTGTGGATGAAGAGGCAATTTTAGTTGAAAGTGAGTCCCACGGGCAAAACTCTAGGGATTCTGAACTCAAATCGCCCACTCAGGGTCTGTAAGACAAGGATGGGGAGCCAGGCACGGTGGGGCCCACCTGTCATCCCAGCAGCTCGGGAGGCTGATACAGGAGGATCATGAGTTCAAAACCAGCCTCAGCAAAAGTGAGGCCCTAAGCAACTCAGTGAGACCCTGTCTTTAAATAAAATATAAAAAAGGGCTGGAGATATGGCTCAGTGGTAAAGCACCCCTGAGTTCAATCCCCAGTACCAAAAAAAAAAAAAAAAAAAAAAAAAACAAGAAAGAAAGAATGGTGTTTTGGGCCACAAAGCCAAATGACACATCTTTCACAGAAGGGAGGATGGCATTGGTGGGTGTGTGTGTGTGTGTGTGTGTGTGTGTGTGTGTGTTAAAGACGAGGTAGTCAGTCAATAGATAATGGCAAAGTGTGAAAAATCCTATCGTAATCTCCAAAGCAGGCTTGAGGTAATCCTTCCTTTGGAGACCTGCTCTTCCCAGTCAGGACAAAAACAAAAGAAAATGGCCCACATTTCATTTTGTTCACTGGTCCAGAAAATGGGCCACGGAAGATAAGTCGGAACGGTTGTTGGAGGTGAATGCCAGCAGCTAGGAGGTGGTCACTGGGGGTTTCTTCCTCCTAAGAACGTCCTCAGCCTGGAGCCTGCCCCTGGGTGTGGGGGGGAACCCCCTCCCCCACAGCTGCCTTCCTCCTCCCACTTCAAAAAGCTTTCGGAGGCTTCTTTCTTGGCAACATGAAGATCTACGTGCTTCTGGAATCCGTTCTGAATGGTGATTTATGCTAAGTGGTTCACAGCCCATCCCCCCACCCAGGATTCTTCCAGAGAGCATTTAGCTGATTTGGAAAAAGTGTATCAAATCCCCCAGAGAACTGTGTGCTTCTTAACTGTGGATGAGTGTCATTCTGATCATTCTCTACATGCTCAAAGCTTTACAAACTGAATCCCGAGAATGCACCAAAAAGAAAAAGAAAGGGAAAAAAAAACCCAAACCAAACCAAACTAAAAACTGCTTGCTAACCTCTGAAGGGAAAACTGGTTACCCTTGAGGACAAGCTCGGTGTGGGTGAAGGAGATGGAGATCGATTCTCTGGGTGGGTCGTTTGAATAGCCTCGTGGGTATTTCCAGAAGTAGGACTTAAATGAGCCAAATTCATCACACCCTCCTCCTTTCAAAACACCTTACTAAGCACCTAATATGTGCCAAGAGCTTGGCTCGGTGCTTGTGAAAATTTACAAAAATGTAGCCAGTGAATCTTGAGCAAAGGAAGAACATGAGGCGAGCTGCACCTTTCCTCTTGATTTCTGCCGGTGACACTTTCTAAATGGCGACCCAGGAAATAGATCCCAACCGACAGCCGGAGTCTCGTGGGTGGAGTGACAGACTTCAGAGGCAGGTTGCCGCATGAGGGTTCTCTTCAGTCTTTGACCAGATAAAAGCTTGCATGGTGCACAGGACTCTGCACTGGCTGGCAGAGAACAGCTACCAAGGGACTGTAAGCTGGAGGGATTCTTGAGGTTCCACAGAGATGGAAGACATTGGATCTGTGGCAGCCGCAGTTTAGCCATCTCACTGAAGACTCTCAGCATTCAGCTGAGACTCACGAAGGCCAATCCTCACTCTTGGCCTGCCATTCGGGCCACCCTTTACCCACTGTAACAACTTGATCCTCAGCAGGATCAAGTTGAGCCTTGATACCTGGATCGCTAAAGCAATGCTCAACACTCAAAATTGAGACAACATACTCCAGGTTCAACATTATAGCATTCCAATGTCCAGCATTCAATAAAAAAATTACTAGACACATAAAGTGGCAGAAAATATGACCTGTAACCAGGAGAATAATAAATTCTAGTAAAAAGAGAATTTTTCCCAGAAATGAAACATGTGGGCAACAGAAAATATGTTAAAGCATCCATAACAAAAATTCCAGGCTTAAAAGAAAAAGATGGCCATCGATACCTTAAAGGAGAAAGACTTCAAAAAGAGGCAACTGGAAATTACAGAACCAAAATATACGATCTATGAAGTGAAAAATTCATTCTATGCCTTTAACTTTGGATTGGACCCTGCAGAAGAAAAGATCAGTGAACTTGAAAACAGGTCAATAGCAATGATCTCAACTGAAGCAGAGAGAACAAAGAGGGACTAAGAAAACGAACAAAGGCTCAGTAACCTTGGCAAAGCCTCAGGCAGTATAATAAATGTGTCTGTGGATTCCAAATAGGAATGAGGGGGAAAATGAGACTGGGAGGAAAATGGAAGAAATAACGGCCATTTTCCCCCCAAGAGGTCCACGTGTTAGAGGTGGGTTCCATAGATGTGCTACTGGAGGTGGTGGGAACGTTACGAGGTGGGCTTAGTGGGAGGTGTTCAGGTCATTGGAGGTGTCCTTGAAGGGATTTGTGGGACCCAGACTCTTACTCTCTCTTTCTTGCTTCCTCACCATGAGGTGAGTGGCTTTGCTCAGCCATGTACTCCCTCAATGATGAGCCACTTTGAGACAAGCCCCAAAGCAACAGACCAGTCAAGCATGGTCTGAAGCCTTCAAAACTACGAGTGAAAAATAAACCTTTTCTCTTTATAAGTTGATTGTTTCAGGTATTTGTTATAGTCATGAAAACTTGACTAACTTAACCATCAACTATAAGTAAAGGCTGTGAGACTTGAATAGCCACTTCTCAACAAAGACATAGAAGTAGTCAGTAAGCATGTGTAGAAGGTCTCAACATCACTAGTCATTAGGAAGAAGTAAACTAAAAAAAAGGAGATTAAAACCACAATGATATACCACTACAGAGCTACTAGTGTGACTAAAATTAAAAAGTGTGATAATACTAAGTGTTGGTGAAGTGGAGGAATAAGTGGAACTCTCACACATTACTGGTAAGTGTGTTAAATGATACAAGCATTGTTACTAAAGAGGGAAAAACCAAGTCTTTCTATACTCTTATAATACTTCAAAGCTGACACCAAATGTGTGGCTTTTTTTACACTAACAAAAATTCTCCAACTCTCTAGACACCAAGTGGTTGTCCTGCAACTCAATTAAACTCTGAAGCTGTTTATACTCCACAGGTTAAAGGCTCAGTCCAACAGACTGCAGCCACTTCAGATGCCAATTACAAATTTCCACTTGTCACCTATATTTCTGGTCAACTAGTTTCAAAAAGTGAGGTTCCTATAGCCCAACCCCTTCCTTAGAATCAATAATCTACTAGAGTAGTTCACCAAACTCAGGGAAGTACTCACACGGACAGCCAGATGAAGAGACACATAGGCTGGATCTGAGGGAAACCCAAGGGTAGGTGTTTCTGTCCTGTGGAGTTGGGATGAGCCACTCCTGGCACAGGGATGTGCTCACCAACCTGCAAGCCCTTTGAACTCTGGGTTTGGGGACATTCATCTAGGCTTCATCACAGAGGCATGAACAATCATTAACTCAACCTCCACTTGCTCTCCCTTCTCCAGAGGTGGGGAGTGAGGCTGAAGATTCTAGGCTTCCAGTTGTGGCTCGCTCCTTCCAGTGACCAGCCCCCATCCTGAAACCAGCCAGGACCCCACCGAGAGTCACCTCATTAATGAGAGATGCTCCTGTCCTTTAGGAGACGGCAAGGGATTTATTAGGTTTGTGTCAGGAACCAGTGTAAAAGAACAAATATTAAAATGAAAGATGTTCCTAGCATCCTATCACTCAGGAAATTGCGAGGGTTTTAGGAGCTCTGTGTCGGGGATCTGAAGATAAGAGCAGGCATATTTTTATTATTAGTTTTTTACAAAATTAAATATGCATCTACTCTGACCCAGCATTTCCACTCTTAGGTGTTTACCCAAGAGGAACAAAAACACATATCCACATATCCACGTGATGTTTGTAGGAGCTTTATTTCCAATGGCC